GACCCATACTGGGTAAAGGCTTTCCAGTGTACATACCCTCAGGTCATTCATACACCTCAGCAACCACTCAGTTTTCTCAGTAAACAAGCTCAGTAAATTCATTGGTTCCCTAAGAAAACTTTAATCAAACATTGGCTTGACTCTAGAAACCTGAAGGGGAATAAGCATTGGTTAGTATCCCAAGGACAAGAATTCTCACAACAGATGGAAAATTTATTTCGCTATTATTATTTGTTAATGTTTTTGTGTCGTAATTATTAAAAGAAGAAAATGAGAATGTGAACAGTGTTAAAAGGATATGGGGATGGAGATATTTTCCAAAATAGAAAAAAAAATGATACCTAGGCAAGTGGTGAAGGTCTGTGTAGGTTTGTTATCATATATAAAGGATGAGACAAAAATAATATACACACAATCTTAAAATGTCTATGGTCATAGTTTAAGGAACAAAATATCTAGTCAAGGTTTATCTGAGCAGATTTGGTTTTTCACTCAAGCCTTATCTATATAGCACATGATAATTAAAAGTACCAGACTGGTGGAAGGCCTATACTAATCTGGTCAGAGGGACTTAAAGGACAGTTTTTGCCCCTTGCCCTCCAAAGTTGACTAAGTTCCAGGTGACTATGGACCATCTCTCAAAAATGTCCTGTAACTGTGGTGAGTCACCTGTCCTCTTGTTCAGGGAGGCCATGGAGGCCCCACCAGATGGACTTGAACCAGTATCCAGTCTACAAAGAGGAGGGTCGACTCAGAGGAAACATTTCCTCCATGCTTCCAACTGAAGCCAGCCATATTCGAGCAGGACCTTTGACTTACCTTCACATAGGTGGAACTGGTAAAAGAAAGGAGCCAGGGGCTCCTCCTAAGCCCATGTGACCCCTGAGGAACAGATCCTCAAATTACCTTAAGAGTAAAAATAAACTGTTTGGGCCAACTGAATGGTCTTAAACACCCAAAAAGAAAGTATAACCAAAGATTAAAGTCATCAGTATATTTCTTTAAGAGTTCAAGGGATTATATTATACATCTCAAACATTAGGCTTAAGTCCATATAAAATGTTATTTGACAATTATTTCTCATTGATGCTCTTGTTCTGAATCAGAAAGTGCTTCTCAGATGTAAGACTTCAAATCTTGGTGTGCAATACTGTAGTGCCCACCTGTAGCTAAGGGAGACAACCTGCTATTGTTCTAAAATGATGGCCAAATTTGTTTTCTTCCCCATCTAAAAGTATTTGAGAGGGAACTGACACTGATTCTAACCACTCCAACAGCTACCAAAAAGCCTGAAAGCAAATCCTGAATCCATCACTCTAGAGTCCAGCCTTGGCAGACAAAAGAAAAACGAGGAGGAACCCAATAGAGGGATGCTTTTGGAAGTTCTCCTCAAGAAATTCCAATGGACTCTCATATGAACGTTTGGAAAATTGCCCTAGTTCCCTATCTAGAACTTATAATGCTAATTACTCTTGCCTTTACTTCTCCTTCACATCTCCTATTCACCAGTCAAGGACTTTCTTTCCCCCCTACAGATAAGTTATGCAATTTGGGAGCCTTTTAGATAGATCCACTGAAAGAGTACCCCAGTTGCCTCACCCTGCATCCCTGTTCAGCATGGAAGATGCCAGAGTGGTCTGCATCCTGATTCCCTATCCGCAAGCTGGATAACCTCTTCAGAAGATGGTGTGATAAGAATAGGAGGTAGGATTTGGCTAGGCAGTTAGTGTAAAAAGACCCCAAAGAAAAGTAGCCAGTTTCTTGGCTAAAAATCAAAATGTCCTTGGGCCTCTTAGCAACATACTCCATTCCAAAGGCCAAAAATGTCAGAAGTATTTGGGAGCTCTTATCTAATCCTTAAAAGATTTTAGGGTTACCTCTTCAGAGGGAGGAATGTTAAAGTGGCAAAAAGCTCCATAAAAAAAAAAGGAGAAAGAGCACATAAAGTTATCAGAAAAACGTGATGGGGAGATATGGGAGGAGCTGGATGGGCAGGAGTGGGCACGGATTTCATCAAAACACCTTATATGCTTATATGCCTGTATGAAATTCTTAATAAATTATTTTTAAAAGTGTTCAACATCCTTAGTAATTAAGGACTTGGAAATCAAAACTACTTTAAGAATTCATCTTACCCTAGTCAGAATGGCTAAGATCAAGAGAACAAAGGACACCAAATGCTGGTGAGGATGTGGGGAAAGGAAGTTCTCAGTCACTGGTGCTGGGATTGCAAACTGGTACAACTGTGGAAATCAGTGTGGAGAACTCTTTAAAAAGCTAAGAATGAATCTACCATATGATCTGGTCATTTCCTCTTTGAGAACTCAGCACTTTCTGAACAGCACGGAGAAGCACGCACTGGCCTCTGTACTGACTGAGGTGCCTTGGTCTTCGAGTTAGTGATTATGCCATCCTCCTGTAGTTTTACCAAAGATGGAGCCCATATTCCATTTTAGTACCATTTCTGCTGAGTTTCAAAAAGCAGAATGAACTAAAGATCTCTTGACTCCCTCATCCTTTCCCTTGACTCCCTTGGATTGATGCTCGGTTCCTCCAGAAGCACTTCACTCTGGAAGATCATTGTGCACTTTGATATTCTGAGTGTTAAATGGCTTTGAATTTTGCTAGAAGGTCTTTTAAGCACCATCGACGGCTTTATTTCTCTCTGAAGCCTCCCCCTTCCACTGAAATGTAATTGTTCCTTTTATATTTTATGGTTTTCTTTTTTTTAAATACATAAGTGTATCAATAGAAATACCAGGTTTAATAGACACCAAAGCCAAGAAAACCAACAATGCCAGATAGTGAATGTCTAACACACTGCCAGCGGGAGGGACTACTGAGTGCAGGTACCATTCAGAGCATTATGGTGTTCTTATTTATATGTACGTGCATGTGTCTGTGTGTGGGGGTGTGCACATGTGTATGGGTGCCCACAGAGGTCAGAAGGTGTCAGACACCCTAAACTTGGAGTTTACAGGTGGTTGTGAGCCATCTGAAGTGGGTGTTAGGAACCGGACTCTGATCCTCTACAAGAGCAACAATTGCTCTTAACTGCTGATCCAGCTCTCTGCTCCCTCCTCTTTTTATATGGACAAAACAAGCAGTAATTAATGCTGTATAGCTGGAATATTTCCCATTTTCTAGGTCACTGAGGGCATACCTTTCAAAGTACATCTTGTGCCAGGCGTGGTAGTGCACGCCCTTAATCCCAGCACTCAGGAGGCAGGAGCAGGCAGATCTCTGTGAGTTCAAGGCTGAGTTTCAGGCCAGCTGGGGCTACAGAGAGACCCTGCCTCAAAAAGACCAAAAAAAAAAAAAGTATATCTTGTCCTCAGACCCTTCTTCTTGCTCTTTCTGCTTTCTGGCTTCCATAAAATGATCAGCTTTCTTCTGTCATGATGTTCACCACAGACCTACCAGCAACAGAACCAGGTGATCATGGACCATATTTCTGAAACTATGATCCAAAATAAACCTTTCTCTTGTTGTTGATGTTTTAAGCATTTTTTAAAAATACTTTATTATTTTTATTTTATGTGTGTAAGTGTATTGCCTGCATGTGTATAAGGGCACTCATGTCCTGCAGAGGTCAGACGAAGGCATCGGATCCCCTGGAACTGGAGTTATAGGTCGTTATTAGCTACCACATGGGTGGTGGGAATGAAACTCGGGTCCTCTGCAAGTGCAGCCAGTGCTGTTAACTGCTGAGCCATCTCTCCAGCCCCATTTTAACACAGCAACCAAAAATTCTTCAATCTGCACATGTCTCTTCCATGCTATATTAGCCACAGCAAAGACTAAAAACAGTCTCTGACAGGAACTAAGCACCATGGCATGAATATCCTGGTGGAAAAGACTTCCAGACTTAGCAGGTTTTGAGGAATCCAGCCACGTTCATTAGACTTTGGATGTTAGGGCTCTGTTAGGGCTCATATCACAGCTACTGAAGACGTTCACTCACTAGATCAGCAACATTAATTTGAAGTGGGCATCCCTCCAAGACAACAGAGACGAGAGGAAGAGGTTAAGCAGGGCAAAGACTGAGGGGGAAGAAGATGTGTAGGAAGAGACAGGCAAAGTTACAGCATGAAGTAACCAAGAGTGCCAGGTGGCCCACAGGAGCAGCAGCACCATGGGCAGTGTGAACGTCATGGATGCTTTCTGACAGCCATTTACAAGTGAACTTAGAGCACAGCATTGACTTGTAGCTCCCTGTTTCCCCCAACATCTCCACTCTTACATTCCTACATTAGCTTTGAACCTGGTGGGAACTTAACTATTAGGATACCCAGAGCTAAGCACAGGCTTCTTCCTGAGGCATCCAGAGGCCACAGACGTGCAATCCAGAGGCCACAGACGTGAACCTCTGGGGTTGCCACTAGAAGTCTGATTTTCTAGATCAGATGAATTGATCGGGAAATTTGGATTTCCAAATGCTCTCCCACACAATCCTTATATCTTCAAACACTGGAGAATACTGGCATTTAAGCCCTAACCGTAGACGACCATTGACTCATATCACGCTTATCTACTTCATGCTCAGCTTCCTAGGAAGACAGTCACCAGCAATGAAAGAGACCAAGCCAAGGAGCGCTATCAGATGCTCTTAGCTGTAAAGAGCTGATACTCAAAGACGATAGAACAAGTTTTGTTTATCCCTGCAATTATCAACAATGCATCATCTTCAAGCCATGTGTATTAAATGCCAAAGACATTTCCTTGAGTTGCTTCGTTTAACTTTTGTTTAGACTGAGAACATCAGTGAACACAGATGGACAGGGGCCAAGTTCACAGGCATTTCCTCAGAATACTTAGAGCTCATGGTTCCATGTGTCTAAACCTGGCAGTCTGGCTGCCTTGAACAGAAACAAGCTAGTTTTTAATTCAAGAATCTGCATTTCAGGCTGTTTCAAAGTGTGGCCCAAACACAAGTCAAAACAAAATAAAGCAAAACCTTATTCATGGATCCAGCACAGGTGTCAGAGAGAAAGACAAACCTTAATAATGTGGAGCTTGGGTAAGAGGTTACAGTCGGCTAGTGTGAGCTCATTCCCATCCAGAAACTTCCTTCCGGAAACAGTGACATCCTCGGTGCTATATGCATCTATTTCATCCGGCAGGGGGCTGTTCAGGTAATTGTCCAGCTTCTTCAGGGCCCGGAGCAGGTTCTTTTCATAAACTAAAGCAATAAGGCAAGAAATTACTGAGCTAGGCTATGTGGGTGTCACTGTGTTCCTCCTAGGAAGGAGAGAGCTTGAGCCTCTTCCTTGAGGAGACGTGGCTGGTCAGCAGTGAGAAGGACAAAAGGATTGGGATGTACAGTGTCTGGACATGGGTCCACTCCTCCCTGTCTGATCTCACAGCTCTGCAATTCCTAGAACTCATCTGTCTTTTAGACTTCTTAACATTTATTCTATGTTTTTAGGGCTGGAGAGATGGCTCAGCAGTTAGGGGCACTGGCTACTCTTGCAGAGGACCTGGATTTGATTCCTAGCACCCGCATGGTGACTAACAACCATCTATAAGTCCAGTCCCAGGGATCCAATGCCCACTTCTGACCTCCACGGGCATTGCATGATATGGGTGCATTTATACACATTAATGTAATACATTCATACACTTAAAATGAAAATAATAAAGTATTTTTTATTTATTTTATGTTTTTAATTAAATTTTTTGAGGATTTCATACATGAGTACTGTATTTACATCATTTGTACCCCTCTCTCTCCCTCTAACTCCTTCTGTGTGCCCCCTACTCCCTCTCAAATTCATGACCTCTTATTGTTACATGTATACATACACACATATAGCACATACATAAGTATATATACACAATCTAATGACTCCATTTAGTGGTGCTCATATGTGCTTGTGTTTAGGGCTGACACTTAGGATTAGAGAGCCTATCAGGGAGCTTGTCCCTGAGAAAACTGAATCTCCCTCTCAGCATCCATTGATTCCCGGCAGCTCTTTATCTAGGGATATGGCCCTATGCATTTTCCCCATCCACGTTGGCTTGTCAACTGTTTTTATTTATTTATTTACTTATTTATTTATGTGTCTGTGTGTGCGTGTGTGTATGTGTGTGGAGAGAGAGAGGGAGAGAGAGAGAGAGAGAGAGAGAGAGAGAGAGAGAGAGAGAGAGAGAGGCATGAGAGCAAGTGTTTTCGGAGACAAGAGAAGGGTATCAGGAGCCCTGGAGCTAGAGTTACAGGCAGTTGTGAACCTCCCACTGTGAATGCTGGGAACCCAACTCGGGTCCTCTGCGAGAGCCGGCAGTACAAGCTCTTACCCACTGAACCATCCATCTCTCTCACCCTGAACTCATCTCTTTTTCAATATTTATGAAAGCCAATGACAAGGTAGGGATGGGTAGGAGCATCATTTAAATGGTTCCCATGTTGCAGACAGGAAGACTTGACGGTGACCATTTCCCCTTAATAGTGTCGTATTCTGGGTTCCTAAACTCTAGAAACATTTGGTTTCTCAAGAGTCACGTGCAGAGTCAAAGCTGGAGGCATTTTCCCCTCATTTGCAGACTTCATCTCTACTGTCTGTGAAGTGTGTCTGAATGGCCAAGATCTTACAAGACCACGTGGAACCAAACATCAGTTAAGACAAGTACTTACTCTCATTTGTGTCCTTCTTGGTGTTTTTAATAAATGCTGAAAATTTGGCAAAAACATCATTTCCTGCTGAGTTAGATTCAGGGTGTTGGGTTCCTAGCTTAGGGTACCTTGAAAAACACAAAATTGGATGGTCATCAAAAGAAAAACGACTGAGTCAGGATGATGCAATGGAGGAAATGTCTTTCTCTAAACAGACATAAAAATGAACAGACCCTCTGGGCTGTTTTCATAATCAACTAATCTTCAAGGTCAAGTGGAAAGATACTTTGGGAGAACCGCACTGGCCCTGGGGATTTTGTCCTGATGATGATCAATCCTAGGACACAGAGGCCAACCTGAGGCTGCTTGTCTTAGTTCCCTCCTTAGTCCAGTGAAAGCATTTGACTAGAAGGTTACCACAAGTGCCACATAGCAGTGGCCAGGCTCCCCTACATGCCAATGGCATGTCTTCTCTGCCTCCTGCCATCCCGTCCTAATTGCCAGACTTTAAGTGCAAAGAAAGGAAGTTGTGGTGCTTCGTTTAAAATGTCAACTTGCCCCAATCTAGAATCTCCTGAGAGGAGAGCCTCAATTGAGGGATTCCCTAGAGCAGGTTGGCCTGTGGCCATGTCTGTGGGATAGTGCCTTGATTGTTGATGTCGGAAGACCCAGCCCACTGTGGGTGGCACCATCCCTAGGCAGGGGGTCCTGAATTGTGTAGGAAATAGCAGCAAGCACCATGTATTTCCCTCTGTTCTTGACACTAGACATGATGAGGTTAACTACTTTAGGTTCCTGCTGCCTACACTTCTGTGTTATCATGGGTTGCAACTTGGAAGTGTAAGCGAAATAAACCCTTTCCTTCCCTAAGCTGCTTTTTGTCAGGATATTTTATCATAGCAACAGAAATGAAATTAGAACAGAAGCCCAGGCGAGATGTCTAACCTGGCTCTGTTTCCCATGGTACACAGTACATGGAAAGGAAGCGACACACCACAGGAAAGCAAACACATGAAGCCCAGAGCTTTAGAATGGCCCAGCATGGGGTGGGGCAGTACCGACCAAGTTATGAGTACTGGCTCTAGGAAGCCTACCTTGGGGGAGCTAGCTTCTCCTCTAAGAACTCCTCGATCTTATTCACATCTGTCTTGACTTCACCATCAAAAGTCATGAAAGGAGGATTTGTCCCGGGAGCTAGGTTCTGAAGGTCTGCAGGCTTCCTAGACAGGAGGGAAGAGCAGTCTTGGGTATTTGGGTTCATGTCCAAGGCTTAGCAGTATCCTCTCAATTTAAGAGATATAACCCTTGCGGATCTCAAAGTAGCCTGTGAATTTGAAAGATGACTTCTTGGTGATGAAGGTAAAAGTGTACATGAACAAATGGTGGTCTCTGCCCTCTGCAGCCCCTTTTCTGAATATGGAGATGGGAAAGTTAACTCTCCAGTATCATCAGCCAGGAACTATACTGAGAAAGGCTTTTGGGAGACACACAGCTGGCAGGTTTCCAGGGAAAACAGGCTCCCCCTATCCCCAACTCCTACTCCTTCCTGACTGCAGGCCCTGAGCTTTAGATAAACCCCACTCTTTAACTCACATCAGGGTTCCTTCCAGACTTCTAAGCAAGGACAGACATACTGTGATATGCCCATGGGCCCCAGGAAGTGTGAGAGTGCACATGTGCGTGCACACAAGCATGGGAGGGTGTGCTGGTGTCTACAAAGAATTAGGTCTGGTTATTTCTATGACACAGAAGCCTTTCCTCACCTCTTCAGATCCACCGTTGTCACATTGAATATAACACCCTTTAGCCAGAGGATCATAAAGAGACGCTGGGAAAATGGGCAATTTCCAATGCTCTCACCATCGTAACCAGCCTGCAAGCAAGAAAAGAGATCTCTACCTGAGCCAGTCTCACAGTCAGAGATGTCAGAGTCACGATGTGTATGCAGTGTCATTATAATTTTTATGGATGGTCATGATACCACAAACAGCTTTCTAAGACCATTTAACTAGGGTCTGCACCGGGTTGGAGATGGATATGAAATGGGGAGCGCGTGGGCGCGTGTGCGCGCGCGCGCGCACACACACACACACGCACACACACACACACACACACACACACACACACACACAGTACACAGAGCCTTTTCTTCCTTCCCCCACTACCTTACCACTTCCTGCATGCTGGGCTTCTGAATAGTTAGAGAGAAAAAGGGCAAATGGTAACTCTCTTCATTACCAAATGCAGAAAAGAAAAACCACACCTTCCCCCACTCTGTCTCTTGATCCCCTCGGAGAGAGGCAACAAGTCCTCCAACTTGGATGTCCATGCTTAAAAACAAATGCCCCAACTTTTCCACCACAACAACATCTCAGTCTCCACCACACATGTCTGCAGGATGAGAGTTTTAGAGTACATGGATTTTAACACCACAGGACATGAACAATCTTATTAGTCCACCTTCAAATTCATAGGGGTGGCAGGGAGGTGAGATGGGGTCAGTGTGGAAGGACACATAAGGCTTCCTTCTAAGGCACCAATGCAGGTCATCCACTCACAAACACACACACCAGACCCAGGTCCTCCTTCCCCTGAGCTTCCAGAAGAGGAGACAGTCTGCTGTGGAGGACAAGAGAGACCTGCATGGGGCTTCACAACACCCAGTAAGGGGAATAATGGGCCAACTCGAACAAAGGGAGTTCTGAAACTCTCCTTCCCCTGCCTGTCTCCCTCCACTACACAAATCTCTGGCAATGTTAGGATGCTAAAATCACGCAACCAAGAGCCAGGAGGGCTTTAGACTGACCCCTTGTATCCTATTGTGCCTAGATGTGATATGCCCCCCAGTTCACATGCTAGGAGCTTGGTGCCCAGGGCACGGGTGTTGGTGATGGTGTGGGACCTTTAAGAGATGGAATGAACTTGGTAAGAGGGTTCCATGGGTAAAAGCACTTGCTGCCAAGCCTGAGATCCATCCTCTGAACCCACATAGAAGAAGGTGAGAACCAGTTCCCACAGATTGTCCTCTGACCACCATGTGTACAGGCACACGCACATGCACACATGCGTGCACACACACATTCACACACTAAGTGGATGGTGATGACGTCACTGAGGGCTTTGCTCTGGCAAAGGATTAATGTCTCTGGGAGTGAGTTTTCATGAGAGCAAGTTGTTACTAAAAAAAGATAAAGAAATTTTTATCTTTTATTTTTTATGGTATGTGTATGAGTGTATTGATTGTGTGTGTATAAGTGTACCCATGTCTTGCAATGTCCAAGGAGGTCAAGAGAGGGTGTCAAATTCCCTGGAACTGGAGTTACAGACCACATAGTTAGCCACTATGTGGGTGCTGGGAATTGAATCAGGCTTTTCAGCAAAAACAGCCAGTATTCTTATCCACTGAGTCATCTCTCCAGCCCCAAGAAGAAAAAAAAAATATTTTAAAAGAACAAAACCAGGTCTTCCTGCTATGTTTGGCTGGTTGGTTGGATTTTTGTTTGTTTGCTTATTTTGAGACAGGGCACTGTAGCTCAAGCTAGTGTGAAACTCGCTGTATAGATGAGGATGACCTTGAATTCTTTTTTTTAATTATTTTTTTTTTAATTTTATATGTATGTCTGTATTGCCTGCATGTAAGTGTGCCCATGTTGTGCAATGCCCACGGAGGTCAGAAGAGGCCCTGGAATCCCCTGGAACTAAAGTTAAAGATGGTTGTTAGCCACCATCGGTGCTGGGAATTGAACCCAGGTCCTCTACAAGAACAGCCAGTGCACTTAACTGCTGAGCCATCTCTCCAGCCCCAATCTTGAATTCCTGTTCCTCCTACCACCAACCTCCCAATGGATGAGATTACAGGTGTGCACCATCACACTCAACTCCCTGGTCTCCTGTTTTGTTGTGTGATCTCTTCTACACTACCTCCTCTGCCATGTGATGCCATTCACCATCAGACCATCATCAGAGCCCAGCAGAAACCAGGGCCATGCTCATGAGCTTCTGGCATTGCGTGCTCAATCAGCCTCTTTATACACTCCTTAGCCTCAGGTATTTTGTTATAGCAACATAAAACAGGCTGATGTACATCCCCAGACTTCATGGCCACACAATCAGTCTTTAATGGCAAAAACACAATCATAATTCAACACATGAACTCTATTTCTGCCAAAAAGTCTATTTCTTTAGTTAAAAGAAAGTGAGAAGAAACCACTGCCATACACACAGAGGACATGAGGCAGAAAGCAGGCTGCTTGTTTGGAAAAAGAAGAAAAGAAAAAAATGGCTCAACAAAATTGAATAAACTAGAGTATCCTGGAGGTAAGTCTCTGACTTAAATCACCTGGAAAGCTTATCAAGGATAAATCAGTGGGCAAAACAACCATTAATGGCTATTCCTACACATTACGAGGAGGAATGACAGACAGCTCAATTTCTAAATTGATTGGGCTGGGAAGATGGCTCATCAGGTAAAAGTACTAGCCATACAAGCCTGATGAGCTGAGTCCAATACCCAGAACCCAGATGCTGTGACATGCAGACATAATCCCAACACTCCTACTGCAAAACAGGAAACAGAGACAGGAGCATCACCAGCGAGTTTGCAGGCCAGCTAGCCTGCAGCACACACTGCAGCATCAGAAACAAGAGAGACCCTGCCTGAAAGGGTGGGTGGCTCCTGAAAGTTGTCCTCTGACCTACACACAATCAATCAGTCAGTAAGTCACTTTATAAAAGGAAATCCATGTGCACTGATGTGTGTATGAGTCTCTGTCTCTGTCTCTCTCTCTCTCTGTCTCTCTCTCTCTCTCTCTCTCTCTCTCTCTGTGTGTGTGTGTGTTATCAGAGGTCAAATCTAAGTCCCCACAAACACTACGTAAGTGATCTACTACTGAGTTATATTCCCAGTCCACAGAGAAATCTAAGAGGTCAATAAGCACATGAAACCCCTCATAGTCATTAGCCAGCAAGACCATGCAAACTAAAGCCACAAGGATTCACCTACCCGAACTGCCAAAAGGTCTGACAAAACCAAATGTTGGCAAGAACACAGAACTACCAAAACCCCACTCTCTGCCAGCAGAGGGCAAATCAGTACAATTACTTGGGAAAACTGAAAGTCCTCTACCAAAGATAAATGTAAACTTGCACAGTGATTCCACCCCTGCAAAAATGAGTCTTTATGGACATGGAAAAGCTCCTTTGCAGATGTTCTCATCAGCTGTAATCTAAAGGCCCAAAGCTGGAAACAACAGATACTATCAGAGCAGAATGAATAAACTAGTCGTGCTATATTCAGATCTGGGAAACCCCACCACAGGGGCAAAGAATTAGCTCTTCCTATAGGCAACCATGTAGAAGGCCTGTACTATGTAATGCTGACAGAAACCAGAGGCCTGTACAGCTGAACACAAAGTTTGAGCACAGGGAAACCCCTGGGAGGAACTCAGAGCAGCAACATGGGGAGACAGGGTAGTCCCCAGGCAGAAGGAAGTCTGTGGAGGAGCTGTGCTCTGTCTGATGCCGGTGGTGGTTCTCCAGGTTGAGAACCAGTCTTCAGGTTGAGTACTTTACTAACCATAAGTTTGATCTCAATCCAGAGGAAATGAAAGTAAAGGTAATGTGTTCAAATACAGAGCTAAATTCAGGGTTCTTGCAAAGAGTGTTTCATTTCTAGAAATCTGAATTTTGACAAGCTCTGCTGAGTTGATGTGATGGTAATGGCCAGGGACCAGCTCCAAGACACACAGTCTTAGCTGTTTTGGGGGCCAAAAGTAAAGTAGGGCACCAGCAGCAGCAGCAGCATGTGAGGCAGGACATGGGAAACTCCAGGGGGACACTCGGTCAACAAGAAGACTTGTAAGGCTTTTATAAACAGCTACAGAAACATGGAGCTAAAGGTGGGCTTAAGTCACATAGTGTCTCCAATATGGAACTGGAGAGATGGTCAGCAGTTAAGAGCACATACTGCTTTTGCAGAGGACCTGAGTTTAGTTCCCAGCACCCACATCAGGTGGTTCACAACTGCTTATAATCCAGCTCCAGGGGATCTGACACCCTCTTCTGGCTTCTTCAGGCATCTGCACACATGTGCATATACACACACAGACATATACACATAAAATAAAACTTTTAAAAAAAGGAATCCCCAACAGACCCAGATTGATGTGTTCAGAGTTACCTCTGAGTATGGGCTCCACATCCCCATCATCTGGTACCTTCCTTACAGTAGACAGTACCCTCCTGCTCTGCCTATTAGAAGGTGAGGGTCTGAGAATTCCCTTGGGTGGAGTCTGATATTCTTGGCAGCCAGATGGGTGACAAGGGGAACAGTTATAATATAGGCACACAAGTAGTCTTTTTTATATATTTTAATTGAATTATTATGCATTTAATATGATACTTCTTGATCATATTTAGACCCCCTCCCCTAAATATGTACCCTCCATAGACACCCCCCAACCAGATTTCATGCATTCTGTCATATATATTAAGGTCTTTCAAGTCAAGTTTGTATTCCCAAATGTCCCTCATTGTGAGTTCATCTACTAGAGCCTAGTCGACCTATCTAGAGTCACTCCCTTAAAGAAGACCGACTCTCCCTCCCCCAGCAGTGATCAGCTGCCAATAGTTTCTCAGCTAAGGCTGGGACTTCTAACCCATTTCCCCACTTCTATGCTGGGTTTTTGTCTGGTTTGAGTTTGCATGGGTCTTATGCATGCTGTCACCATTGCTGTATGAACATATGAGCAAGTTCCCAGCTTCCTGGAAAACTCTGTTTCCTTGTGGTCATCCACCCCGCACCATCTCTGGCTCTTACAGTCTTTCTACCCCCTTGTCTGCAACAGCCTTTGAGTCCTGGGTGGCAGAGATTTA